GAGGACGAAGAAGGAGGGGGTGGGGGCACTACTGTCGCGGGAGGAGAGGCGGAGAGCGGGGAGAGGGGGCTGGAGGGGATGGCCGACAACTGGAGCGGAAGGCGCAAAAATATATCATCAAGTGATTGTACTGCATCCGCACTGCGCCGCCGCGCCGTTCTTGCGGCTATTTCCGCCGCCGCCCGTCAAGCTGCAAGTCAGATTGCCAGTGCGCGCCCGGGGCAGCGCCAAGCAGCGCCTGCACGCCAAGTCGAATAAAGCAGGTCGGCGTAAAGTCGCCGTACGTATCACACCGCTGCTGCCGTCGCTGACGTCGGTCGTCAGGATGGCGTCGCAGGGGTCAGGGCAACGGATAAGGCCATACTCCACCGCGTGAAGCCAGTGGCTATGGAACGTGCGTGGCCAGGAGGACGAAATTAGCTCGGTGACTCAACGAGTCGCGTCGAACCGCGCGGCGGCTGATACGACACACGCCGCCGAGCATCACCAGTCCAGGTCAGGGAAGTGGGAGCGGGGCGGTCAGGGCGAAGCGACAACGCCCACGCGCTCCAGTCAGCGGCGTCAGCAAGGCGTCAGCCCAGCGGCGAGAGAGGACGACAACTTGTGTTCGACAAGAGGATACAGCAGCTGGTGTGTGTGTACGCGCGCGCCGAGCAGACCAAGAACAAGACCGCACGCCGGCGGACCATGGCGCTGGTGGTGAGGTCACTGCTGCTGCTGCTGCTTGCTCTACTGCGGTGACGGTCTGTGATGCGGCGGCGCTGCTCGGCCGCCTCCATATCCCATCGGAGCACCACGACAAGGTCATGATCGAGCCGGTCTCCGAGCGCCGTCATGTGATAAGCCGTGCCGGCCGCCCGCACCGCCCGGTGGTGTTTTCCAACCTTTCACTGTTTGGAGGGAGGAGGGCGTAACTAAAGAGAGGCTCTTTGGGCGTAACTCTGTCGGGGCGCCCGGCCCGGGCCGGGCCCGCGACGGCTGCGCGCGGGAGGCCGACGCGAAGCGGTTTACTTTGGACAGCGCGCTTCAATTACCACCTTCTGGTGGACGAGGGCGTCGCGCATTGCGTGGAGGTTGGGGGCGGAGGGGAGGGGGGCGAGGGGGCAGCAGCAGAAAGCTTCCCTCTAAATACGACTATTTCCGTCGATTTTCGCGTGGCTGGTCGCGGCCGCACACGGGAAGGTGTAACTTGTGTGCGGAAGCGTGGTGAAATCGAACAAGGCTGCGGCGAGCACTGCCAGGCCAGAGGCAGGCCAGAGGCAGGCCAGAGGCCAGGACAGGGGGGGTTGCATGCACTCGGCAGGCCAGGTGCGCGGCCCTCCGAACGCCCAATCGAAGGCTGCAGCGCCCCGCCCCACCCCGCCCCGCGCACTTGCGGGGTAATGGTCATTCAAGGAAAACCAGTTCGCCGGCTCCCTATGGCCTCTCTCCCTCTCCCCTCCGGACCTCCGGACCCCTCTGGACTCGGCCACGCCGCCGCCGCCGCCGCACCTCGTCAGCTCCGACAGAGCCTCCTCTGAAGGGCCTCCAGGTTCGCGACGTTCGCCCGCGAAACGCTTTGATCTTGACCCCCGGGAGACGGGGGCGAGGGCCGTGACGGAACGGTGCGCATAACGTTGGTTATTCCTGACGCCACTTATCTCGACAGAGCGGCGCCGCCTAGTATCTAATCGCTAATCGCCAATCGACACGGGTATAGCAGTTCCCTTTTACATCATCGCTCAAATCTCTCCGGACGCGCCTCTCTATAGCTCGGATTTTTCATGCCGACTCGACGTCACCGCCACGGCGCAGCCTGCTGGATGCTCGTCCCGCTTTCCTCAGCTCAACAAACGAAATGGAATGAAGCGGACGGGGACCGCGCCGTGCCAGTGCAAGGCGTCGTGATGACAGCGTCGCGGTGGCGCTGGTGCCGCGCTGCTCTACGCTGGAGTGAAATGATAGAGCGGCCAAGTCGTGTCGACACTATAGAGGGAGGGGAGAGGGCAATGCCGCTGCATTTCCCAAAATAACAAGAGGAAAATAAAAACGGATGCATTTTAACCGCTTGCTCTTCCCTTTAACATGTTGAGTCGCACAGGACCGACCACACGTATCGTCTTAATAGCTTGTAAAAGCCCCCTTCCCCCCACCCAACGTGTCCATAGTGTCAATCCATGAGATTTTTCGACCGAGTAATTTGGGATCATACAGAAAGTATGTCCGTCAATCGCCGTTACGAACATGCCAAGTTCAGCCTATGCAAGGTCCTATAGCGCCTGATCAGTAGGCAACATCCAGCCTACAGTGCAGGCGTGTACTGCGGGGTGGCCTACCCTGTGCCCCGCAGGCGCGGAGCTCCCGTATTTGGCCGAATGAATCTGAGAAAAACGGACGTACTTGGAGTTAGTGGCTGACTGGCTGGCTAAGGTTCGAGCCAGGCCCCTTCCCTTCCCTTACCCCACCTATCTAACAATACTACGCCAGGTAGGGCAGGGCACAACAACACTTGGCCACCGACGCGCCCCCCCCCCCTGTCCGCGCCTTATCTCCTCCTCAACGCCACTAATACGCCGAATTACAAATTTGCAAGTAACAAGCAGCCATAAACAAATGACAGCTAAATACGAGAGAAAATTAGAACACAGACCAATACTTATATTAGCATCATCTGCTTTCAAGATCGATTATTCTTGATTGAGATTTTTTAACTTGTAAACTAATACTGTTAACGCAATGCCGGGGCTGTACTGGTAATTAAAAATCCCCGAAATGGTGGGTGTGACGAGTCCCATTGGAGGAGCACCTGCACTGGACGTCGTATCGTATGGGTACCACGTGGTGCCATTGTGGCGCCAATGTTTGGTGTTCCCGAAGCTGGCCGCGGTCTCGCTCCGCCGGGTAGCGGAGTGGTTGGTGTTAGTGCTGCTGCTGCGGCAGCAAATCGTTCGGGAAAGTGTGACACATAGAGACGAATGTTGTGGTCGCCGTGGGTGGAGAGCCAAAAAGCTGACGAGAGTAGAGGCCGATAACAGCGCAATGCACGCGCGCGCCCGCCAGCCGACACCCTATCTGCGGACCTGAAGCTTGCGCAGGTTGGACAGCTGATGGCCGCGGGAGTCCGGCAACCGGGGGAGTTTACTTCAGGCACGTTTGCTTTCGAGTGTCGCGCCTCGCGTGGGATCGCCGACGAGCGTCTCCCACAGCCAAGCATGATTTTGTTTTCGCCGTTATAGCAAAAGTTTGTGCTATTTCGGCAAACCATTTGCCAAAACAGCGAAAACAAAAATATGTTTGCTACAACAGCAAAACGCAAGGACTTGAGATTGTCTTTTTGGGAAACCGCGGCTTTTTTGCGTGCAGGCAACAGGGAATTCCTAGAGGAGGAGATAGAGGGTATGTGGGGTGGACAGGACGCAGGACACCTAGCTCAGCCGCGGGCACCGCACAGCAGCGCCGTGTACGTGAATCACTTGGAACAACACTATTTGAAATTGAAGAAGCAAACGCGGATTCCGTACTACGGACGGCTGCGAGGGCGAGAGGCCCAGCAGCAACAACTCGGACAGTGATAGGGATTCGACAGGTGAGCTGCTCGGGGGTGACACGGTGACACCTGGCGAGGCCCTATCGGCCGCACCGTGGGGCTTAGCGCGGGCGCAGGCGCACTAGTGCCTCGGGCTGCAGCAGGCAGGCGCTACTTCATTGCATCCAAATCGGTCACATTGACGTCACTTTGCAAGACTAAAGGCGCGAAACAAGTTCCATTTCTCGATTTCTCACATTGTGCTAGACAGTGGGGCCTCCAGAGTGCCACATGGTGAGGGTCGGCGGTTGGAGGGTTCCTGGACTCCAGCGGGGAGGATGAGCGTCTGGAGGTCTGGAGCAGACGACGCTCGGCGCCGCCTCGAGGAGGCGCTGCCGCAGCTGCCGCCGGTGGCCGGCCGGCGCACGGCCGCTAGGCCCCACGGACCCCACGGCCCAGGAGCGGCGCGAGCTTTGGCCAGCGGCCGTCCGGCAACAGCGCGCCGGGTAGCGCCTCGGCGACTTAACCAAAAACTTATTGTAAACACCTACCGTCTCGACAAAGTTGTGGTGCGGCGTCCTGTGCGACGACCCGTTCATGACGGCGACCTGGGTGGCGTTGCCTCGCGGGTCACTCAGTCACTTTGCGCGGGGCGGGCGCGGGGCGGGCGCGGGGCGGAGGGGGGCGCTGCTGTCCGTGCGGCGTCAAGCGACACGCGGGGCCCTGGCGAGACGGGACGAGGCGGCGGTACTCGTACTGGTACCATTACGGATGGCACGGCCATACTGCCCTCCGCCTGCCTCAGCCGCGCGCCGCTCCCCGCCTCAGCGGCAGCGTCGTGGCGAGGCGCGGCGTGGCGCGGCGCTCCAGGCCAGGCCCGTGGTGGCCACGGCTCGGCTCGGCCCCGCGCGGCCGTGCACCGGCTGAGCAGAGCGCTCGGCTCGTAGCGGCTTCGCTTCGGCCCGGCGGCGGCCGCCGGCCCCGGCCGCGGCCATACCTGGGTACCGACCGGCCGGCCGGGCAATCTGGTCCGTGGTGCTGCCCGACTGACGATTTCGGGTACATCGTACACACTTCTGAGTACCCTTTCTGGCACTAGTATTCAAGGCCTCCCGACGTGCATATTTGGGGCCATCCAGAAAGTTTCGTCCGTTACTCGCCAAGTTCATCTAAGCAAGCTCGCAGAGTGCCCGATGGGCAGGCAGCGTCTTGTCTGCAGTGCATACATGTGCTGCGGGGTAGCCTACCCCGAGTATCGCAGGCGCCGAGCTTCCGAAAATTGGTCGAAAGAATCTGAGAAAGACGCACGTACTTGCTCGATGATACCATAGGTACCAGGTTGTTTCACAGCCCTGGTGGGCTGGTGGGGGTTCGGGTAGGAGGCCGGCCTAGAATTGCTCCAATACCCAAGCTGTGTGTAGAGACCTGGATTGGAGGGCTCACTCCAGGTTGAGTAAACTAAGCTAATTTCTGAGGATAGAAAAATACACAAATGTAGTGCTTCCAGGATTTATTTAACATTCTTGTTATGGTAGCCAGCGCATACAAGAGTAGTCCTTAATTTTAGTTCTGGCGCTGATTTGAGTGGAGGGGAGTTATGATGACAAATCCGCCTAGATTTAATTTCTTACATGGAAAACCATACAATATGGTTCACTTTGATTGGAACAGTTTATGGAATTTCATACTTCAAATATTGCATGTAAAGAAACAATTAAACACAATTGTTCTTGACACCTATTTTTACATTATATTCTTATCTGACTACAAAGGTACACTTATTTAACACCTACAAAGAGCATCAAATAATGTCAGAAACAAATTGTCCGCATGAAAAAATGGCATTAATACACAACACACTTCAAACAAATTTGTCAAAAATGCCTTTGATCCCCTTTCAAAGAAAGACTTTTTGCCAAAAATCACAGTTTTTGTGACCCTTCTAGGTCGTATGTAATTCAAGTAATGACATATGGGGAAAAGTTTGTTGAGAAACATAAAAACAATTTTAACACCTTTCCTGTTGCAAAAACAACCACATAAATTATTGAGTGCTACACAACAACTGAAACAATTTAATGAAATGTATGAGAAAATAACTCAATGAAGTTATTGATATTCCCTTTAGTCATTTCACACCTCTTGGTACAAACATGCTAAGTTAATGGGCAATAATAGCAAATTGATCTACACTTCACATAATCACACTTACATAAAAGCAAGCATGAGTGCAATGCACAGAGCTCACAGTCACTCCATAAAACACATGGAGGTACAACACTGAATGTCACCCCTTGAAATACACACCCAAAAAATAATGAACAGTGGTCTATCTATATCATAATGGTGGGTATGATTAATTTTAAAAATTACAGTCAGTGTGAATTATGGAAGAGATACATCTAAACCAAGAAGGTTTACAATAATGTAATATAAATTCCACACTCAAAATGGCAGAAAAGTATTGCCATGCAAGATAGGTATTGAATTTTTTCCTTAGGTATCATTTGCAGTTTCACTGTTTTCCTCTCTTTTCATTGATTTAAGTGCACGCTCTCTTAACCGCCTTTCCAATGACTCCCCCCTTTCATTCTCACTCTCAGCGGACTCCTGAAAACATCACAAGTCCTTAAGTTAATCACTTTACACAAACTGCATCTTGTTTAAATTGAGAACACTGCATTTTTAAGTGCTTACATCACTAGCATCAGATTTTTGCTTTTTAGCCTTTTTAGTCTTTTTGTGTTTCTTGTGCTTTTTATGTTTCTTTTCCTTCTTCTTCTTTTTACCACTTGCTTCTGCATCACTCTCCTGTGGAAAAGTTGAAAATTTCTTTAGGAAAGGTCATAACAAATTAGTTGAGGAATTATGCAGAAATAGTAAACTAAACTTACTTCCGATTCACTGCTTGAGCCAACCTTCTTCTTCTTTTTCCTTTTCTTCTTGGACTTTTCAGTAACATCTGGACTTGATTCTTTGACTTTCTTTTTATCCTTCTTTTCATCTTGAGAATTTTCAGAGTCAGATGAATGAATCTAAAATGATAAGACGAATTTCAAAGTAAATACAACACATGTAATTAATTACTACAATTGAATACTAATAAAATGATAATTACCTCTTCCTTAGAACTGTCCAATTTCTTTCGTTTAGGTGAAGGAGATCGAGATTCACTTTTCTTCCGACCTGGCTTGCTACTGGGAGTAGTTTCAGATGCAGAGGTTAAGCCTTTTTCTTTCCTATTAAAGAACAAAATAAGAATAAGATAAGAAAATACTATTTAAAGAGAAAACTAGAAGATGTAGTCAATAACTAACTTTTCATCTTTCTGCTCAATTGCAGAATCAGCCTTGACAGGAGCAGTATCAGATTTCTTTGTTTGTGCCCTAGAATCTGATCCTGATCTAGAATGAGAGGAATCTCTTGAGCGAGAGCGGGAGTGCGACTTAGACCTTGAACGCCTAGTAGTTTTTGGTTGGTCAGGTGATTTTGATCGTGAACTTGTCCGCTCTTGAGATTTTTTGGTTGGCGATGTATTTACAGCAGGACTTTCGTCACCTGAATCAGAGGACTTTGATCTCCTGTTAGAGAGAAGTTTTGTTAGAGAGACAAATTGCAACAAAGCAAACTTCACTTAAATGATAGGTTAAGGTACAGGCTGAATGGAAAGTATGAACAAATTACCGTTTATTTTTGGCTTCTTTGTTTTCTTTATCTCTTTTGTTTGGAGATGGTGTTCTTGACTGACTGCGAGAATCCTTCATAATAAAAAAAATAAAAATAATGTACAGGTTGGTAAGACTACAGAGAATTAAGAGAATTTAGTTACTAGTTTTTATTAACAGAAGTATTAAGCATAATAAGTCGTGAGGTTTTTATACCTCCACAGGTGGTTTCTTATCTGCATTGTTAGGGCTAGGTGATACAGATTGCTTTCTTTTCTTGCTATCTTGTGGGCGTGATGCTGCTTGCCTAGAATCGGATATGCTTCTTCGCTAAAAATTAAGTAAAAGTAAGTTAGCATGTTATTAAAAGCTCACAAAATGACAGAAGATGGAATGAATAAGCACATACAGGTGATGGAGAGTGCTTTGATGCACTTCTGTGGCGAGGGCTATCCGTTCTACGCGGGCTACGCCTGGGACTGCTACGTCTTGGGCTGCGCCGTGGTGAACGGCGAGGGCTGTCTCGCCGAGGACTTCTCCGAGAGCCTGATCTGTATGGACTACTACGTCTGGGACTCCTCCTTCCTGGACTCCTGAAACGAATCAATTAAGGAAAATTTTAGAATAAAGAAGCTATATGCACCACTGAACATAAATGATTACTGCTCATTATACCTTCTCCTGCCAGACAGTCTCATTCTCTCCCTTTCTCGATCGCGGTCCCTTTCTCTGTCCCTCTCCCGCTCTCGCTCTCTTCTTGCCCTTTCTCGCTCCCTTTCCCGTTCCCTCTCCCGCTCCATGGAACGACGCCGGCGGTCTCTCTCTCTTTCACGTTCCCGTTCCCTCTCACGGTCTCGGTCTCGGTCCCGCCGATCCCTTTCCCTGTCCCTATCCCTATCTCTATCGTCATCCCTGCGTCGGGATCTTTGAGGAGAACCAGATCTGCCTCGATGTTCCTATAAAAATTGAGAAAAAATTGTTACTTGAAAGCTTGCACATTAATTTGTAACTTAAAGGGCAATATTAGTTTGCTTGAAACTTACTTTACGAGACGAACGGCCCCTATCTGAATCAGAACCTGAAGAGTCTCTATTGTTTGAGCGGTAATGCCTTTTCTTTTGTACACTATCCTCCTTTTTCCGGATTTCAAAGTCTGCATCTTTCCCTGAATGCTTTCCTGTAAATCAGACAAGAATGTCAAATCCAACTTTATATTCATGTAGAAAATTAAAAAAAAAAAATGCTAACCTTTACGGGAATCATCAGAGCTGTAGCTAGTAGACCGTGATGAACGTCGTTCTTTCTTAGAAGAAGTCTCTTTGTCTTTGCGTGATGAACGAGAGGATGCAGATGAACTTCGAGAGCGGGATCTTTTGTCCTTGGATTGTTCCTCTTCATCATCCTTTGGCTCTTTTTTTCTGTAATAAAAGAATCATAAATTTAGATGTGAACAGATTTGAGATCTATTGTACAGTAATCTGACAACCAAATACTGAGAGAATATGTAGTTCAAAACACAAAACTTACATGACAACTTCAGTACTATCCCATCTTCCTGGGCGGGTGGTGGTGGCGGCAGTGGTGGTGGTGGTGGTGTTAGTGGCACTAGTTGTTGCAGTGGCATCTCCATTGCCTGTAGTCTGCTCTGCATCATCTTTTGATGATTTACTCTGATCCGCATCACCATTGCTTTGAGCTGTTTCTGTGGATGTCTCTGTGGTAGATGGAGTGGCTGACCTATGATAGAAAGATAGCACTTTTAAGTTTTATAGTGACAGTAAAAGGAGGGCCAATATATCACAAAGAATTCTTACTCTTTCTTTTCATCCTGGTCATTCTCCTTAGTCTTGTCATTTTCCACATCCTTAGTGTCACCCTCTTTAGATTTATCTTTGTCCTTGTCCTTGTCTTTACGACGTTCTTTTTCCTTCTTATCCTTGTCTTTATCCTTGTCCTTATCTTTCTCCTTTTCTTTCTCTCGGTGACGTTCACGAGATCTGCTCCTCTTCTTCTCTCGACTTCGGCTACGGCTGCGCTCTCTTTTCCTGTCTTTCTTTTCCTCCTTTTCCTTTTCCAATTTCTTGGCAAGTGTTTCATGCAACTTTTCTTGTTCTTCCTATTATGTATCAAAATATGAGTGGTTGCAAAGTTAATGAAAAATGAAAACATTGAGATAAATAGCACAGCATACTCACCATGCGTTTTTTAATTTCTTCTTTTTTCTGTTCAAGGAACTGACTTGGAATGCCGGTTACAGAATCTTGAGCTGACAGAAGTAGATCCCAAAGTTCTTGCATAAAAAGTCGAGCATTCTTTCCGTTAAGAAATCCAGTCAAATTAATCTGCATCTTCTTTGGATCCGGAAACTGTGGAACAAAAGGTGGGAAGAGAAATTCTTTACAACTGTTATCATAAGAATTCAGTAGTTCAAAAGAGAAATTCTTTCCATCCAAGGAAAATGAATAGAGAAAAGCAGATTGAAAGCACTATGGGTACAAAATTGTGGCACTGACTTTGTTTACGGTCAGCTGTAACCACAGAACTATCATGTAAACTAGTAATAGGATTGGAAGAGTTCTTTGAAAAACAAGATGAAGCAAATCTTCACCAGAAGTTCTACATGACATTATTAAATTAGATAACTTATCAAAAGAACTCTTCCGCACACACTTTTAGGTCAGTGTTAACCTCTCTTACGACTAAATTTACATAATTAAACGATCTGCAGGCTGTTTTGGATGCCGCAGGGTTCCACTTATATACCACCTGCATGTAGTTCAAACTCCGTGGTCCCATGCCATAGCTCCTTTATGACTCAGACAAGTTCGCCTTCTTCCGCTAGAATGCTGAATTGAACCATGGTATAAGTTCAGTGCCATAACCTACATATTTCCTCGAGAAAAGGCTCTTAACCACCAAAATCCAGTGATTTTGCTACATCCAACTAAAAATTAAATCCATGGAAGGTGGCGCAAGCAATTTCTCTTTGAAATATGCCTTGATTAAAATTGATTACATTCATAACATAACTTAAAGAAAGAAAGAAAATTTCATAAAAGGCTGTTTGCCTTGTAAAAGGCTTGTTCTAGAATAATGGTTGCTGCTGCATGCAATTTGAGTGCACCTGGAGATTAATTCACTTCCATTTAAAAAAAGAAATACATGTTACACATTAAAGACAGTTGTCAGAAAAAATTTAATATTCTCTAAAAGAAACCCAAGTATTGTAGTGAGGGCACTTGGATAATTCAGAAAAATGAATAAGTTAATAAATAGATCAGCACACCCAATGCTATTTGGTTAACAATATGATATCCTACTACTGTTAATTTCAAATTTAAGAAGTAGTACAGACTTTCCTGTTCAGTAAAATTTCAATTTTTTAAGTTAAATTATAGGGTAAATATATCAAAAATCTGACTGGAAGTTATTAGTTTGATGGACATGCCTTTTCCATTTAGGGGAATCAATCCCTAAAAACTATGACCAATGGCAATGGCCCCCAAAAAAATGATCTATAGATGGCAGGTGAAGGCTGGCAAAAGTTAAAGGACTAAAGATTTGGTACAAACCTTGCATGTTACACATTACTTTGGGGTGATATAGATCGTGGGTACGAGAGGCAGTCCCGCGGAGCGAGTGAGCCGCGGGCCAGAACACAACCAAACTGTCTGACCGGGGCGAAACAAAATTTCGCATTATCAGTCAAGCGAAAAAATCCCACACACTTCCCTACAAACTGTTCAGAACACCAGCACACAGTGAAAATTGACCTTCAAATTGTGAATAACAAGAACTTGCCTGGGAATAAGTTTCCAAGTTTCACAGCATAGACCACAATTACTTAAAAGTTGATAATTTAACAACACACTCTTCAAGAGGCACAAGACACCATTCTGATGAAAACTAATTGGTCAAGAATGAAGAGCTCTTGATGCTACGGAAACATGGACCATCATGTCTACACAAATGGGAAAAATAATGACTGTAACGAGCATAACTACAGCAAGTTCACCAATTCTTAGTTCAGAGCAAAGCTGTGGGAAGAGTTCTGGGGCAAATTGATGTCATGTTTATGGTAATACATTGATTACAGTCCACTGAACCAAAAAAAAAACAAAAGACAAACAAGACACCACAACACCAAATGAGAGTAAATGAAAATAGCACACAAAAGTAAATTCTAATAACAAAAAATGAAATTGCTAAAATACTATGATGACTTTGCCTATCTACAGCATAATAATATAATAAAGGAAAGCTGCAAGTTGACCAAAACTAAAAACTAATATAGACCAGTAATATAACTGCACTTTAAAATTAGTAGTTGTGCAGTATGATAAAATTCAATACTGTTTAAGTAAACTACATTAAATATATTATGGTTAACTTGTTCTGAAACAAACTAGACAAATAGCAACACAGAAATAAAAATCTCACCTTTGCTTCAAGCTGGTTGAAAACAAACTCCACAACCACATCGTCTTCAAGCTTTAAAATCTCAGTCAGCTTCTTGGTGATCCATGGTTTGATTGAATCCAGTTTTACTTTGGACATGTCCACCTGAAAGTTATTACACCACAAATTTAAAAAATGAAAGAACAGTAGAACAAAGCACTTCGATAAAGCTGAAATGCAGAAGAATGCAGCGAACAGGAAAACGGAAGTAAACATGTTAAGGCATAGCGATTTCCGTTTTCTTCTTCCCCTCAATCATTTGCATTTCAGCTTTACCGGAAAGCTTTATTTAAAAACACCTTTAAAACTGTCGAGAGTACTATCTCACTTACCCTTTTAGTTAAACTGTCACTAAATTTCATTTGCTTCAGAAGTTTCTTTTCTTTGTCACTGAAGCGGTTGTCTTGCTCAGCAGTTGTCCCCTGCAATACATAGAAGATAACATTGATGAGTAAAAGATTAACACTTAATAATGACTATTACGCAAAGCAGAAATGATTGCTCAATAAATTAAAGGTTTGAAAACAATGGAAAAACTTGAAACCCGTTAAAAATGCTTCAGGCGCAAGATAAGCTATGATTACAATAACAGTTAAAAATTAAAAATTTGGAACAACATCCTGACGAGATATGTCAAGGAAAATACGGGAAAACAAATAGGTTATCTACGGATGGCAAAGGAAAAGCCGAGACGATGAAAGCTGTTAAAAGCGATTCATTTTATTACTCACCGTGTACATCATCTTGGCAAGATTTTCTCGACGTCAATTACGCTCCGTAAAAGTAAAAGCCTATGGCCCCTGGAGTTGGATCGTCCAAAATGTGAAAGCCGTTTTAGGCGGTACGGTAGGAGAGATCACAAAGCCGACGAACGCATGAAGTATAGGGTCATAATAGTACACATTGCAGCCCGCAGTAGATGAAAGTCACAGATGCTCAATTGGTAGAGCAAGTCCGGTGCACTAACTGAGTACTAAGAGAAGTTTCAGAAGCTCAACATTCGGAATAACCAGTAAAACGAGCAAAATCCACGGGACACACGACTCCCGACGTCCATCCCAGACTCGGCGTTGTTTCGTTGTCACAGTCACAAAAACAGCGTCTTACAGCTTCAAATCACTACAACACGGAAAAGCCAACAGAAATTCTGTGGATAACAAATCTTAAGAAATTTGTGATGGGGAAATTCCCAAACAAAATTTTGTTGAGAATCTGGCAGAAGCTATACTTTCGGCAAACTTTTGCTTTGACGATGTTCTTTTTCCTTTTCTTCCTCCTGGAGAACGATGTGTTGTTTCGCTAGAAGGCTTAGACGGAAGACGTGAAATCCGGGAACATTCAAATTCTCTATCTGTTATTGATTTCTAAAAGCAATGTCATTCTGAACATTTTCGCTCGACAAGGCTTGAAAATTAGTGTTCACATTAGTCAATGTCGGTAACTCTAATTCTGTGAAGAAATGTCGAACTTATCGAGTGCCGATGTGCCAGTTTTTTCGGTTTTTTCTTCTTCTTTCTCCTATCATATATTTTTCATACTACCTAAACAGTGGTGGAAAGTGAAAAGCTTCGGAAACAAGCGCAATCGCGTCGCGGCTGTTCGCTTCCTGAACTGCTTTGCTTTGTCGTGTGGTGTTGGTGTTCAAGTGGATCTTCATGATTTAAGTTTATTTTCTAGTACAAACAATTTTATTTTTTCTTGTGAGAGTATGGGGTCCCAGAAACCTGATGTTCAGGGTTCCCCTTCTACCAAAGCAGTTAATTCTAAACCTTATGGAAAAGTAATTTTAACGTTAAAGAACTGTTTGTTGCCTGAAGAGAAGCTTTCTCCGACGCCATCTCAAATAGATGGTTTGGACAGAGAAACAGAAACAGATTTGAGGATTTTAGGATGCGAACTGATACAAACGGCTGGAATTCTTCTAAGACTTCCCCAGGTAAGACCACATGTCTTTTCAACTCCTAACTTTCACCACAAGTGACGAATGACTCATTTGCAATGGCGCCACAACGTTGTCCGAACGTATGCGTCTGATCAGCGTCATCAGTGCTGAGTTCACATTTCACCTTTCAAATTCTCATTATTATCAACTTTTAAAATCAAATGATTCGTCCTTTTCACTTCAGCTGCATACTTGTCGCTCAAATGTACAATTCAATTTATATCAGAAATTCATTGAACTAAGTTCAAGGTCTTTACTGGAGGTTATGTGCCCCAATCACGACATAGCAACATGTAACCACATACCTTCAAAGATTTTGCTCTTGTGGTGGTTTTAGATGTAAGTTGGGGGGTCCTTTTTTTCCGGATCTTGCATTTCATATGAATAAACTCGTTGTTCAATGTTAAATATTACATTGTTCATTTCTCATGCAAGTTTAATCAACAAATTCAAAGCAGAAAAATAGCTTAATAATTTTTTTACTGTATTACTTCAGCGTAAGCTCTGAGGTAAGGTTAATTGTTTTTCCTATGAAAGGGTCTTACTTAAATTGATAAGCTGAAACTTTCAGGAGTTATTGGTTAAGTTTGCTAGCTTTTGAAAACATAATTTCCATTGAAAAAATAGACTGGAATGATAATGCTGAGCCATTTCTACCATACTAACCATTACCTAAATATGGTTTTGCATGGAAATGGCTTTGATTTTTAAATGTACTGATTTGTTCATCAAATAATATGATTTTTCTGACAATGTGTTCACAGGTAGCAATGGCTACTGGGCAGGTACTTTTCCAACGTTTTTATTACTCCAAGTCCTTCGTTAGACATGGAATGGAGACTACAGCTATGGGCTGTGTGTGCCTAGCCTCCAAAATTGAAGAAGCTCCAAAGAGGATAAGGGATGTCATCAATGTTTTCCATCATATTAAACAAGTTAAAAGCCAGAAGTAAGTATTTGTTTGGTTTATCAGGGAGGCTATGTCCCAGAACATGGCACCAAACCAAGCTTTGCAGACAGTTAAACCTTATTATTATCTAATTAAATTTGGGCAGTTAATTTTGCCCACAGTTTTTATTTGTTTTCTACTCACAATTTTGTAAGCCATGTTCTGGAGCTGGTTCTCCTCTTTTGTTGAGAGCTTGTTTTTAATGCTGCTCACACCTTCTCTGCAGCTGGCACTGCCAGTTACATATATTTTTAGCGTTTCATTCAATTTATTTTGTCAGAATTGATTTAAATAAGTTCACCCATGGAATGTATGTCTAAATTTCATGGGTGAGTTCTTATTTAGAAAATATTTAATCTAACCTTCGATCTTCCTTCCTGCTTGAAGTAACCGGTGTCTATTCTTTTTTGGAGAACATTCTGAATTCTCACATCTAACTTACCATAAGTTAGAAGTGTTTAGATAAATTAGGATCTGTTTCTATATCAGAGCATGGAGTTTAAACACACAAAGTATTTGACTCTAGACAAAAGCTGCCATTGCCATATAGACTAGCCTGCCTTCAGAGGAATAACTCAGTTTACCATGAAGCATGTATGTCTTCAGAATGCCTAGAAATGTTGAAGCTTTCTGGCTGTTTATAAATGAGCTCAAAACTTGTCAGTTCTGTATAAAAGTTTGTTTTCATTGATCATATTCAGAAATAGCACATTCTCTATTGATATCATGGTGACAGTGGATTAAATTAGTGTTTTTTTCTGCATTATTTTCTTTATATTTGTTTCCTTTATCATTATCATTTTCATATACTATTCACTTTTATCAATATGTGTCAGTGACTATAATGAGTGGTCTCAAATTTTACTCAGTGAAGTAAAAGTTTGATTTTTCAGTGGGGATGGTTTTGCATTTCTCTATTGAGCCATACCAAAACTCAAATGAAAAATTTCATTCAGATTTGTTGTTTTGCATTTGTGAATCTATGCTCAAAGATGTGTTTGTTACTTCCTTTCCCACAGATGAGGACTGGGACTTACATGGTGAGTGGCGGCAAACCAGCTGAACAGCCCGGCCATCCAATTAGATGGGTTGGTTCGGTGCATTGGTTTGGTGGGCACCCCTGCCTATCAGTGCCAACCCGGCTGAGCCCGGCCGTCACGTACTGCAAGCAACAACCTTGATTCATTTTGCACCTTTCCTCAGCACTTTCAGGCTCTGATTTTTTCAATGGTTAATAGAAGTTAATCAAGTGTAACTGCTCTTTTACCCCTAGTATATATTGGCTTGTAATTTTTGAAAGGAGTTTTTTTTTTTTTATTATGTTAAACCTGTCTTTGTTAAATAATATGAAAACCTGTAGTATAACAGTTCATCGAATACACTGTTGGTTTTTAAGTTAAGATTTTAAGACTCATGATTCTGTCTCTGTTCAATTCAAATTTTCTGTGCTTTTACATGATGTCTTCAGTTCTTTCAAAACAAAAATTTAAGACTATCTTCATTTAAAAAAATGTGATACTTATCATTACAGAAAATATTGGCAATCTGATATTCCCAGAGAGAAATATTGTTTGAAAGCCTTTATAACCTGTAGAAAGTGGGTTCACTGACGTCCTGTTTTCTGTTTCTGCTGTTTGGTTTAGAAAAATTTGAGTCCTTTTTATTGGCCATCTGAATGGCATGTCTTTAGACGCAGCAATTCTATATTGTTAAATATATAACTTTTTCCACAAATTTTTATGTATGGTGAATGAGGGTAATTTTAATTGGCTAGGCATAAATTTACCTAGAATTAAACGGATAGTTTTTATTGTTATGTATCTAATTTTATCTTATTTCTAAGTCAGGTTTGTATCCATCAATGCCATTTGATCCCTCTGGTTTACAATAATGCTTCTGTGGTTCTTGATTTTCTTTTGAAACTTTAACTGTCGGCATGTGTATTTCATTGGTAAGTACTTTGCCTACAAGTACCGTCAAATTCTTGTTCACCACCGTGAAGCTGGTGTGCCGTAAGTGCGTCAAGGTAAAAGAATGGTCATCCATTGTGAATTCTGACCTGGAATAACGGGAATGAATCATGAGCCTTAAGACTGGCTCGTTGAGTTTCCTGTTTCCTGGCTCTATTGACTGCATTTTTGTGCCTTAGCACAGCAGAAATCTGGCAGCAGCCTTGAGGATGTCCTTGCCTGTTCATGGAACTGAGTGGATCTCCTGCTCACCTTTGCTGAAGTTCATCAATACCTCCATGGACTAACGACTGCAGTGGACCAATTTTTGGAGCTTCCCCTAGTGCCTCGGAAAACAGTGGATGAAACATCGTCAGTACTTCATATCACCGTAGTTAAAAGAAGATAGCAGTGTTTCCAATACTTCTAATCTCTGTTTAGAGTTGCAGACATTCAAGCCTAAGTGAAAGTGACTTGCATCCAGAACTGTACATCGTATTTGCTGTGGTGGATGTTAAACTGGTTTGTTTGCTAGCCAATTGTGTTTCATAACAAAGTAAAGGGGAAGGGGGAAAAAGAAAAGGGGGGAAGAATTATAGTGGCAATTCTTTAAGAATCATCTATTTATATAATTGCAACAGAGTTATGGCAGAAGGGTAAAAGCGTTTACCCTTGCTTTGTTATGTTGGCTGGCTGGCTGCTGAAGAGTACAAGCTAGCTGTTGCTAGTGCATCATCTGCTATAAAGAGGCTTGATTTGGGAGTACAGCTTGGATGTTTGTGTCGGCTACTCAATCAAACTTGGAGAGAAGAAACCAGCTCATCTTCTGTGGTGTTTATTTAATCATTTATTCTTTATTTCTAACTTGTTTTTCATGTGCAGTAAATTTTCTGTATTTTTAATAGCTCTTGTACACTTACACTGTCATCTATTTCCTTCTTAAATTAAAATAGACAAACAATTAATAATTAAGTAGCCATGTTGAAATCAAAGCTGTAGGCTGTTAAAAGGTGCATCATATCAGGCTTTTATTTGAAATCTCACTATAGCTGAGAAAATTTGAGGCCAAGTCATGTGGTTCTAACAGTCCTCATCTGGGGGGAGAGCTTCCAATTAGTCATATTATTGGTAGGGATGATGTTAATGTGCTTTTGCACACCTTTGTGGTTTGTTTTTGCTGCAGGACCATAACTCCCATGTTAATTGACCAGAACTATTCCAACCTAAAGACCCAGGTGATCAAAGCTGAACGCAGAGTACTGAAAGAGTTAGGATTTTGTGTGCATGTTAAACATCCTCACAAGGTAGATATTATTACCTGTAATTATGTCCATTGATAGAATTTATGATAATCTAATTACTTAAGGGCAATTTGTTACATTCAATTAATTTAATTGCAGCTAATTGTGATGTACCTGCAAGTACTTGAACATGAAAAGAACCAGACCTTCATGCAACTGGCATGGTGAGTGCAATATTCTCTATGTACTTCCTTTACTTTTAGGACATAGAATCTTGACATTTGACCACTTTTTGTTTACAGGAACTACATGAATGATTCCTTGCGGACTGACGTGTTTTTGAGATACCAGCCAGAAACGGTTGCCTCTGCGTGTATTTATCTCACTGCAAGGAAATTAAAAATTGTTCTTCCTAAAAGCCCAGCCTGGTTTTCTATCTTTGGTGTTTCTGAAAGGGACATTAAGGATGTATGTCTTAGAATACTTCGGTTATATGAAAGACCAAAGGTATTGTAACTTAAATATTGTAGTAAATTTTCAGGCTAGCTTCCTTTGATTCATGATCTAACTTTGTATTTCTGCTTTAGCCTAATGCTGAAGAATTAGAAAAGCGAGTTGAAATCTTACGGAAGCAATATGAAGATTCTCGACAGAAAGCTCGTCAATCTCTTCCAACAAATACTAACAACAACCAGAACAGTGTCACAGGCTCTGATCCCAATACTCCTCATGGAAGTCAAAGCCCTTCACCTGATACCCGCAGCCAATCACATTCAAGATCAAGACCAAGTTCGCCTGTGAAAGCTGTCAAAGATCCAAAACACCATCGATCCAGCTGGTCAACCAATACTGCGTAAGAGCTGTCTGTCTCTCATTTGCCAATTTTCACAAAAATCCTGTGAACTTCATATTAACACCTGTGTTTTACATTTCCAGTCGCAACCACCACACAGAGAAACATCGCTCAAGTCGGAGCCGAAGTCGGTCGGCGTCAAGGAGCCCCAAAAGAAATAAGAGGTCAAAAAAGAGCAGGAAATCACGAACACCATCTCGCTCAAGAACTAGGTCCAGGTCAAGAACCAGATCGAGATCACAGTCACGGGATAAGCGTAGTAAAAAGAATCATAGGAAGGCCAGAAGAAGTAGTTACTCCAGATCACCATCCCCGTCACCCAGAGGCAAAAGGTACAAAGCTCAATTAAATAAAATATCAAATTTGGAGATGTTTTTATGAAGGATTTCATTATTATTTGTTTGCATTCTCTAGGGAAAAGAGGTACAAGTCAAGATCAAGGAGCCCTGTTATTAGGAAATCAAGATCACGCAGTTATGAAAGAACAGAAAAGAAGAGGTTACGTGTATAATAATCTAATTTCTTAGACCTTATTGATATTTTTTGGGGTTTTCTCCTCCAGTCATCAGTGATACAGTTACAATACTTAATAATCAATATTTTCTTTAAAATTTTGATGGAAGTTAAATTTATCAGTTGTGAGAGGAAAGCATTTGTTTTAGCAAAGCAAATGTAAAGACAGTGTTCTTTGTAATTGTATTTAAGTATGTGTTGTGTGCTGATGTGCCATGTCAGGTTTAATGACAAGTGAAACTTCCAGTTATTGGTAAATACTACTAGTACTATAAATTTTGACAAACAATTCTCTTTGTTTCCATATTACTGTATTATTATAATTTTTTCCTTTTTTTTTTCAAGTCAAATGTTGTCTTTATTGAAAAAGAACCTTCTGTAGAGAATGAAATAATGTCATGACAATAGTAAGCTGCGTGTCTTGCCTTGCAATTAATCATCTTTAGTCACAGGAGAGTTGTACCTGAATGTCCTCGAGTTTTCTTGTAATCTTGCAGATGCAATTAACATTGTCATTCAAATTCACACCTTGCTGAGAATAGGAAATAAGAAATAAGGTGTCCCCGTCAATGCGATAAACTCAAGCATAATTTGAAACAACAGATATTGAAGCCGAGCATTTAAACACTACATTTTAAATTAATTTTCACCTGTTTTTGTTTAATTTTTGAACTCTTAGATGATAAATACTTTTCTGTCCAGAATATAAGCAGTTAGCAATTCTATTATTTCTTCTCCCAATAGTAGATACCTATCCAATGTGCATAGTTGGGCTCATGCCCACTTTTTCCAATCATGACTGGAGACAATTTAAACCCACCCATTTACTTTGTCAAATATTTCACTCATCTTTTTATTCATACAAACTTTTAACCTAAAAAATAACTGCCATTTTTCTTTGTGAATCAGAACAATTATCATTGTAATGTCACATGCTAGTTTTGGTACTCAAAAGTGAACCTCTACCTTTAAGTACTATAGCATTATCAATTTCTGTGTTATTCAGTATAAGCAATGCAAAACTTCACCATGTGGTTGAAGCTTTTGTTAAAGTGGCTATTTTTTTTATGTACAGGATGTCACTGGAGATTGTTTTGTGCGGTGCTTTTCACTCAAGCACCTAGAAATAAAGAGTCTGTAATTTTTTAAATTGTGGTATATTTTTGGAAATCAATTTTACATTTTCCTTTCATTTTTAAGTACATGATCATTTGAGAAGCATTGCCTTCTTTTTTGCAAAACCAGCAGGAGGGGCACTCCCCCTCTCCCCCGCTGATATTGGGACAAAGTCCAGTCTTGTTATCTACGGTCAAGAAAAGTACAAATACAGGGCCGGAATCTCCATAAGGCCTTTCCTGCCCCCGTTCCCTTTGGGATATTAATGCACAGCTCTAAACAGCACAACAAACCTGTGGTATTATGCTGATGATGTAACTGCGGTACGATGGAATCTCGTCGATAGGGTTCCCTCGCAGTGTGAGATTTCGAAGCTTTTGCAGGTGCCGCAGTTTGGCCACCGAATTCAATTTGGTCAGTTGATTTCCGTGAAGGTAAAGAATGCGCAGTTGTGGGAATTGTAGGACATCCTGCAATTAGAAGACAGAACGGTCAGTGTCCGAGGTCGACGACGCGGCTTTGGTGGCTGCTAGAGATGCGCTGGCTGCTCTCACGTCGGCGATGTCCGTGAGGTTGTTGAAGGACAGGTCGAGCCACCCCAGTGCGTCGGGCTGCGCGATGAGGCCACGCATGAGGCTGGCCAGCCCCCGGACGTCAGTGAGCTGGTTGTGGTTGAGCCAGAGCGAGGCGCTCACGAAGCGCTTGTTCTGCAGCTGGACCGGCGCGCGCCTCGTCCGCTGCGCCTTGGGGCTCTCGTTGGCGTGCAGCTCTGAAAGCGGAGCGGACCGAAGTGTCGGTGACACGGCAGCCTGGGGGAGGCCCGGTGGGACCTCTCCTTCGGCCGGATCCTACCGTCCAGGCTGGTCAGCCGCTTGAAGGAGAAGTCGACTGGTGCGCCAAACGTCTGCTCGCTGTACTCGTCGCGATGGGAGAGGTTCCTCCGGCGAGTCTTGCCGCTGGGCACGGGGACACACGTCACGGCCACCGCCATCCTGGTGAGCAGCGGGTAGGGCAGGGCGTTACCGAGGGCTGGGCTGCGCCGCGGCGGCACCCGCCCGCCGAGGGGCGCGCGACGCGACGCGACGGCAGACGCACTGCGGCACCGCGGCATTCCCCCGCGGAAAAGGCGGGCCCGGCTGAGCGCGGGCTCTGCTGGGAGGTAGGCACGCCACCCTCGGCCCCTCGGCGGCAGCGGCACGCTAACTTAGTTTAATAAGGACAATTAAAATAATCTCACGGGGGCTTCCCCGTCGTCCAAGTTTGGGACGAGACACGAGACACTGCGGTAGTAATTTTGAAAGGGGCGGTTATTGGGGATTTCGTTTGAATGTTTGTTTGACGTCGAAGCTCGACGGAACGCACATATACATTGGCAGAGGAATAACTCCTCCGATGTTTGCCCATCCCCCATCCGGCCCCCTCTCCTCTCCTTCCACTGTCCTCCGATACGCTAGAGCCATTATCCGTGTTCCCGCACCTGCAGGGAGCAAATGTCTCCCCGACACGCGATGCCAAAGAGATTAAGCCCATTCATGTCTTGATTCGGGCGGCAGCGCAGCGCCCGCCCGCGGGGGAAGGTAAACTTTTTATGTCATAGGGGACAGCCGCAGGTAGCTTCCACGAATTTATAGACACCCAGCCTCAGTCTGCATGCCACCTTACCTGCTCTGTATCTGAGGTTTTGTATTCCTCAAAAGTTTTCAGCTTGTTGTATTTTCTTATTTTTTAAACATATTTTTG